GATCCTGAAGCAGTCTACATCCAAATGCAGCAAGACCAGGGTAATATTCAGTCTTGGGTTGACAAGTGGCATATAACATTTGCACCATACAAGTGACAGGCAATGACAATCTCCAACAAGACAGAATTTAACCTTCACCTTTGACACTCAACTGGCACAGCCAATTTGCATTTCTGTTTCTATCAGAGCCAATTTGCATTGTTAAGGTGCCCCAAAGAGGGGTCTGAAGTAGCAAAAGGTCACAATTGGGGCCCACACGAATCTAATTCCTCTTTCCATATGCACAGCAGGCAGGATGGAACTAATTTAATGGCTCATGTAAGCCAGTAAGAGTTCCTCCATGTTAAGGCCCCCTACGATATTCTGACCTGCCTACGGTAAGCTGATGTCTACTCTCTAGTGAGTGAACGGGATGGTAAAAAGGATGATAAAAGAAGACTTCATATGGAACCTGTCAAACTCAGACTCTAATTCGGTGTGATCTGGCATCATGATGACATAGCCCATTTCAAACATGCTCGCCAACTATTTTTAGAGTAAAAATATAACCAACACTTTACTCCACAAACAGTAACCACCTCGCTTGATGAGTCTGCTGACAGCCCAAAGCTGTCTATCCTCTGATTGGCCTGGTAACATCAAGAGCCTGCCCATCGGCCTTAACTGAATGGTAAGCAAGAAGATAGCCAATTAAGAGGCTGCCTCCAGAAACATCTTTGTGCAACATGTCTCAGTCACACAAAGTGTGGGCTCAGGGACCTCATTTGGTCCCGACTCAGGATCCTGAAGCCCATGGCAAAATCCAGCCCTTGGATCTGTAATAACCTGAAGAGAAAAGCTCTGTTTTATTTATTCATAATCAGTTGAGACTTTAGAAAAGATCAAAAGATATACATCAGCTCTGTTTTAATGGTTTGAGATTAAGGGAAGAAATTAAGTTACATTTTCTTCCTTGGGAAAAAAAATTGGGTTAGATGAAACCTAAGATCAAGACACATGGTTTGCATTTGTATAACAATTCGGTCATATGATTTAACTAAGTAAAGTTTAGTTACTTAAGGTATATTCAATATTCTTCACTGTCTTAAATTCAACAGTGCTCTATTTTCCATATCTTCAAGAGGTGGACCTTACTTTTCAAAAGGATTAAAGTCATCAGTGAATACATTAATTTGAGACAAAGAACTCTAGCTTTTGGAAGTAATGCATCAGAAGTGCTGTTACTTCCTTTTCTTAAACATTAGTCAGGTGAATGTGTTGATTAGCAAAGTGGAATCCACCTCATCTACTATAAACCCACTACTATCCCTCTAACCCCCACCCTATACACCCTCCAGCCACAATTGCTATTTAAAGACATAAACATACGACATTTAAGCAAGATGCTTTGTGTTTTCTTTTGCTCTTGTGGAGTGAGCGGCAGCATTGTGTATTACATCATGGGGGAAGGTTCTGAAAAGGGAGTGACTGAAAAGGGATCTTAACAGGGATTTTGAAGGCATCTCAGGGGAAAATCTACTATCATTAATAATCTATAGTTAGGGATTGGCAATAAATGCTTGCCTAACCAGTGACGCCTACATCCTATGAATGAATAAAATAAAAGCTCCAAAGCAACCCCAGTCCTTCCAGGGCTATTCCCTTTTTGCCTTATCCTCCACAAAGAAAGAGCATAAATCCCACTTCTATATTGGAACACCTAAATGGTAGTGAGCATTTGGGTGAAAAACTGAGGCCTGAATTTTTGCTTCCTATTTGGGAGTACAGACTCAGGACATCTCCCTCCTGCACAAACGTGACCTGTATCCCAGAACATGGAGTTGTCAATCTATGGTGGCAGGTTCTAGTGCAATTTGGACCAGGTGACCCCAAAATGAATGCAGAGGCAGGCTGGGTGGAAGGCCTACTTTTGTGCTCCAGTGCTATACTGAAATTCTAATTCTAACTGATAAAGCATAACATAGCCTTACAGCCCTGACCACGCACATATTCCCTCAAACCTCATCCATACTAACTCATGCTCCCCACGAATGCTCCCATAATTCATCATACTGTCCATGCCAATCTGTAATCCTTTACCCATGTCCATTTTCCATCATAGCCTCCATGTCAATCTACGTTCCTCTATCTACCATCAAAATCTCTCACATACCCCTTGCTTACTCAGTGCCCTCTTCCCATGACACCTTCTCTCATGACACCTTACAGCCACTATACAAACCAAGTGACAACTTGTTTCAATCCATGATCCTCACACACCACCCTTTGCCCATATAATTATTCGTCTAACTCACTCAGTAAACACCTTAGGCACATGTCAGGACCTGTGATGAGATGAAATGAAATAACATTTTAAAAGTCTACTGCAATCTTTATTTAAAGGAAACACTGTGTCATGAAAGGTAGTTTACAATGTTAAACTTCCAATATTCCTTATAAGAATATGCATTTGATTAATTTTATAACACTTTATAAAACAAGCTTTTGAAGTCATAGTCTTACTTCAAGTATGACTTCTATGACTACTTGGAGCTGTCAATCAAATTGTGAAATGCTACAGACCACATTGAGATTGTGGAATGTAGTGAAATCAGACATGGAACACTACTCCAGTGATGAAAACCCTCAGTCTTATGTCAACAGAGTGAAATATCAAGTGACAATATTTTTAACAGCCAAACAAATCTTTTTATTTTCAAGTACGTAGAAGAAGGAATGTTAAATATCTGGATAGCTTGACAGTGTTTTGATAGTTCTTCTTCGAACTTACAAAAGATGTTTTTGACAATTCCTCTTGTTTTTGTTAAGTGTATTCTGATGGTTCCTGTTAAAAATCTTAACAGGTGTTTTTGACAATTCATTTTGATTGTTCCATTGAACTTCATAGTTACAATGAAATGATGTATTTTACGCACATTCATGCCTACTTTTAATTTCAAAATTATACCTCATCTGTTCCAGAAGACACCCAGACCTTCCCCAAAGGTGTACCAAGATCATGTCAAAAGGGGTGTCCAAAAGAGTACCCTGGCTACCCAAACAAATCAATAAAGTTCATAACGATCTAATCTGGTTCACATTACATTTCAGATGTCAATTCGGATATTACTGATATAGGCAGCTGCCACTGCATAACAAACATGCAAGGAATGCAACCTGTCCCCAGGAAAATTCTAAGTGCCATATTTGGGGACTTAGCCTACTCCTCCCATTTTCACAATGATGGAAAGGCTGTATTCCTTTGGGTAAATCCAGGATGTCTCTGGTTGTTTCTCAGCTTGACTGAGTTGACCCTTGTCTATGTTGCAGAATTCACAGCTGTACTTATACTCTGCTACAATACTTTTGAGGCATTGCATTGTTGGAGATGTAGTAATTTTGATGAGACATCATAGATCCCATATACTTCTTAAAGCAGCAGAGATAGTTCTCTCGGCACTCTTGCAGCATTTTTTTCTCAACCAAAAGCAACAAAAGAGCATTAACAGTTCATTAATCTTGTTGTGTAAAATAGCTGCCATGTTTCAGTATGTAATAACCATCTCTGCATGTCAAGTTAATTAAGTGTGTATATATAACACATTGGAATATTTAAGAGTGATGGTCAGGTTATTTATGTAACAATTGAATGTGAAATATTGTGCGAACATAATCGTATCAATATAGGTAGTGAATGCCTCAATTTGGATGGTAAAACAAAAAACCTCTTACTTCAGAACTGCTGGTTGTGATAATTTGATAGATCAGATAATACAATCTTGACAGTGAAGAAGGGCATGACTGTTCTGCTGCTTGTACTAGATGTACATGCATTTCTCATTCAGGCTTTTATTATTGAATGGATGGCTTTTATTATTGAGGGTTACTGTTGATCTGAAATTTTCAAAGACACAGGACCAATCTCTGCTAATGATTTTTATATCATTAGCTTAATAATTCTACGCACATTTTGTATTTTTGTTTTAATATATGCTTCTTCATGTATGCAGTATTCGCTCAACCTATCAATTACTGTTGAAAAGCCATCTTCCATTTTCAGTAGTGTTTTTTGGATCATTCAGTTGACAGTCTAGATACTGGTAATCTGTGCCAATAGCTGCCATTTAATGCACTTTTACACCAGCTGTAGCAGTGATATTCTATTCTAAGTAATAGGCAGCAAGATTTTTTTCATAGTGCTGGGCATGGCCACATTTATTTTTAATAGAAAGAATTACATGCACAAACATTAGGCCATGATCAATCTGGAATTTAGAGTAATTTACTTATGCGTCTTGACATTAGTACTGATGCTATTTGATTTGAAGTACAGTACTTCCTACCTTTTCTTAAAGTCAGGAAAGAATAATTGCAAGGAAACAAGATTTTGTTTGGAATGCGTGAGTGATGAAATAGCTTCTCTTCCCCCCCGCTAGATTCTTAACTGGCACCAATATCAAGCAAAAAAGGGGAGTTAGCTTTAATTCCCTTGTACGTGGCAGAGTTGACACATGTAAAGTAATAGCTCATTTTCAATTGCCATGTTTAGCATATGTCTCATGTTGGCTCTGCAAGGCCTGCAGGCCGGTCCCATGAGTTCAGCTCAGCCAGCAGTTGCTGCCACTACACAGCCCCCCCTTAGCGTTGAATGCTAATAGCTTTGAATCATGTTCAATGGTGATGTTAATTTTCCAGCAAAAGCATTATGGGTATAAATGTACCTGACATCGCCAGTCAATGACCACGAGTCTTTGTGTGTGTGTGTGTGTGTGTGTGTGTGTGTGCGTGTGTGCGCGTGTGTGTGTGTGTGTGTGTGTGTGCGCACAAGCACATGTTACATTCCTGCAGATGGTATTCGACTGAATATGTCCTTCTATGGAAAATTGCACAGTTCTAAACCTCTAGGTGCAGGAGGCTGTTAACAGTTGCTGATGATAGTAGGCAAACATTAACATAATAATTAGTGTCTTGTAATTGTTTCATTAAAACCAGTTGTTCCATTTCTCCTCATGTTTTCCCAGAAGAGAAGCTGAATTTGGATGACAGCCAGTGGGAGGACATCCACGTCGTCACCGGAGCACTAAAGATGTTTTTCAGAGAGCTGCCTGAGCCACTTTTTCCATACAGTTTTTTTGATCAATTTGTAGATGCCATAAGTAAGTACAATACAATGTTAATTTAACCCTCAAAGCACTAAAGGAGCAATTCTCTATTCTGCATGCAACCATTTAGTAGGATGAGGTTAATTTTTTAATTTGCTAGCTGAAAGGCATTCATAAATCAGTGCCTTGAATGTAGTTGTGTTTATTCAGTTCCAGTTTCTTAATATTCATGACAGCAATTTATTTTTGATAGTACACTTTTATACTTACTTCATGCAAGGTTGTAACATTGAAAAATACAAGCTGTCCCACTTTAATTTGCAACTAATATTTAGTTCAACTTGATTGTTTGTCACAACGTCTGTAAGCAGATTTCCAAGCAGAAGGTTTAGATGAATTATAAACTATTGGTTTAATTACTACACGTTCCCAAGCTTCATTCTTCAATTGCATGTTGGACTTTATTACTTAAAAAAGTCTCATTGGCACAGATCTGACGCTGTTATAACATGTTTTGTTTGTTATTGAAGCATGCTGTTTTCAATTCTTTGAAAGTAAACATTTGGAATGAATAATGGCGAGAGAGAAAGAAAGCTTTCTTTGTTATTAATATATTAAACTCAAGTAACAGGATAAATTAATCCTATTTTGTGTTGTATGATCTTTGATGTGATAAGATATAGCTTCAGGAATAAAAGCAAGAAACGCTGGAGAGAATTGTAGGGTTAGGCAGCATCTGTGGAGAGTGAAGCAGAGTTTCAAGTTCATGACTATTCATCAGAAATGAGAAACTTTAAAGGTCTAACAGCTTTTAACCAGTGCAGAAGTGGTGGCTTGATGTCATTTGGCCTGGTAATCTCGAAGCCCAGGTTAATGTTGTGGAGATGTGGGATCAAATGGCACCATGCGGCTAGTGGAATTTAAATTCAAATTTAAAAAAACTGAAATTAAAAGCTGGTATAAATAACGGCAACTATGAATTTATCATGGATTGTTATAAGAGCCCCTCTGGTTCACTTAGTGTCCTTTTGGGAAGAAAATCTGCCATCCTTACCCAATCTTGTCTACATGTGTCTCCAGAAACACAGCAGTGTGTTTGGCTGTGCCCTGCTCTCTGACATGGCCGGTGAGCCAGTCAGTTGATGCAAGTAAAAGGCAGGGAAATATGGGAAGAGAATGAAGAACAAATGGGAAGGCCGGTGATAGAATGGACAGTAGGAATGATCAAATAACAGAAAGGATGCTTATCTAAAGCAAAGCAGATGGTAATGGGACAAATGTAGATTTGGAATTATGGGTTTAGAAGAAATGTAGACAACAATGGCAGAATGAATACATAGACCTGGTGTCCAATTCTTTATTATTTGAAATTGATGAGCTACATGTTGAGTTTGGAAGGCTATAAAATGCTGAATTGAAAACTTAGGTGTGGTTTCTAAAACTTCTGATGAAGTTGAGATCAGTCTGATTTTTGTTTAGTCATGAAATTATTTTTAAATACTGCTGATAAAAATTTTATTATAACAAAATATTTGGTATAAAAATTAATTTATTATATACTATGATATTGATTCCAGGAATCTGAAAGTAATCTTGAGCACTCAAGTGGAATAACGTAACTCTTTGCTGTTTTACTTATTTAATTTTACAGTAGGCAAGGACATTATTTACAGCATTGAGCATTCTCTCTATTTTGTTTATACTTTTGCAGTATTGACCATTTGTAGGATGCAGTGAATCATAGTTTATTGGATTTATTTTCCAATAATATGCACCAGTTATACTAAAAACTGCAAGAAGAATGTCATCCTATGTTTCCCCTCGCTATGTTTCAACAATCTTCATTACATATTGCAGAGCAATTTTCAAATCGGTCCAATTTCTTGCAAAATCTTAGAATCTGAATGTCAAAGAGCCTGTGTTGACTTTTTTAGGTGTAACCTTATAGTATCACTTCTCTCCTCATCATCCACCGGACAGTGAAACAGTTTCATAGAATCCTTACAGTGTGAAAGCAGACTATTCAGTCCATAGAGTCTACACCGACCCTCCGAAGAGCATCCCAGCACACCTGCCCCACTGAATCCCTGTAAATCTGCAATTTCCCCGGCTAATCCATCTAGCCTGCACACCCTGGAATACTATGGGCAATTTAGCATGGCCAACCCACCTAACCTACATATCTTTGGACAGTCGGAGGAAACCGGAGCATCCAAAGGAAACCCACGCAGACACGGAAAACATACAAACTCCAAACACACATTCGTCCAAGGGCGGAATTGAACCCAGGTCCGTGGCACTGTGACACAGCAGTGCTAACCACTGAACCACTGTGCTGCTCGTTATGTAATTTATTTAACACATACATAAATCTAAACCTTTGTCAATTTTCCCCTTAATCTTCTGTACTCTTAATATTAACAATATAGCTTCCCAAGTCCCTTTCTGTAAGTACAGGACCTCATCACTGTTGTTACACTGGCAAATCTCTGCCGTACGTTGTCTATGCTTCCCTTCAGGGGAGAATTCATCACAATAAGGAGGTCTAACCAGCAAAACAGGGCTTGCCAGTCATTAAAAAATTCTCATCCATTTCTCTTTGAGTTTTCTGTGTGATATAGTTGCACTTTTAAGCTGTTTCAAGTCGGATAGCAGAAGAAGTAGAAGAAATAAATAAACTGAGACCCACATACCATGGGTGGGATTTTCTTCATTTCAATATCTTTCAGGCATAGACACCGTTTACAGGCCCAATTCCATTCATGACATAGGTGTTCCTTGTGGCATAGTCATAGAGAACCACTCAATTAAGGTCAGCAGGTGGGACATGACCAGAGTTCCAACTGGAGGGCCTGCAGGATTGACCCGTTAGCAAACCCACTGTGAGGTGTTGCTTAGATAGATACATAGTGTAAAAGTGCTGCAAAATGGAGGAACTGTCATGAGACTTCAGAGAAGGAAGATTAAAAATAAAGTCCAGAGCTAGTAGGACTATCAGCATAGATGGGCAATTGCCTGTTTTGGCATTGCAGCTTTATGATAACATCATTGTTAACAAGCTCCAATGTTCCTCTGGTGTTCTGAGCTGAGATCACCCTTGAATGACTTTCTGCACCCCTGACAGAAGGTGAGACCTGCAGACATTCTAACGTTGCATAATTAAATGATAACTGCCCTTTTAAACACCATGATGGCTACCATCCATGGCCAGACAGGCTGCTGCTACCACATGGAACTGGCTACCAGAAAAATCTTCAGATTGCACGAACATGTCAGACTCAGCATTCAGTGCACCTCAGTTCAATTTTCCACATCCACCCCGTTACCTTCAAGTCTGCTACCACAGGCTGCAGACAGCTTCTTTCCAGTGTTTAAGTCGAATGTAGGTCAGAACTGCCTGTGCCTTTAGCCATGCTGTTTCAATACAGCTACAACACTGCATGCGGGTACAATATGCGATCAAGTAGGGAAATGATATGTTGGCCATCATTGCTAGAAGAATTGAGTACAGGAGCAGATATGGTTGATTGCTGTATTTGTATAGGGCCTTTGAGAGACCATATTCGGAATGTTGTGCACGGTGTTGGTCTCCTGATCTGAGAATGTTCTTGCTATTGAAGGAGTGCAGTAAAAGTTTACCAGAATAATTCCTGGGATGGCAAGACTGATGTATGAGGTGTGGTTGAAGTGGTTAGGATTATATTCACTGAATTTCAGAAGAATGAGGGGAGATCTCATGGCAACCTAGAAAACTCTAATAGCCCAGATGAGGTGATTGCCGAAAGGATGTTCCTGACGGTTGCAGAGTTCAGAACAGGGTCACAGTCTAGGAATGCAGATAGACTATTTAGAATGAGATGAGGAGAAATTTCTTTACTGAGACAGTGGTAAGCCTGTGGATTTCACAACCATGGAAAACAGTTGAAACCAGAACATTGTATGAATTCAAGATGCTGGTGAATATATATGGCATAAAGGGCTAAAGGAATCAAAGGAAATGGGGGATAAGCCAAAACAGGCCATTGAGTTGGATGATCCGCCACGATCACAATGAATGGAGGTCCAGGTTCAAAGGGCTGAATGGCCTACTCCTGTTCCTCTTTTCTATGTTTCTAGAAATGTGAAAAATTGCCCATGTACGTCCTAGCCTCAAAAAGGCAGGACTCAATTACAACCCCATCAGTCTATTCTCAATCATCAGCAAAGTGAGTTTGGGTGTCTTCAAAAATGCTAACAGCAGAACCTATTAAACAATAACCTTCTCACTGCTCAGTTTGGCTTCTGCAAGGTCCCTCAGCTCCTCAACTCATTAAAGCCTTGGTTCAAACTTTGACAAAAGAGCTGAACCAATGTGGGGAAGTGAGGGTGCCTGTCCTTTAAAGCAAGACCACATTTCGCCAAGTGTAGTGCCAGATTGAGCTCAGAAAACATGAGTCATGGGAATCTAGAAGAAAACATTCCACTAATTAGAGTCATACCTAACAAAAGATGTTTCTGATTGTTGGGAGATCAATCATCTCAACCATAGGACATCACTGCAGGAATTCTTCAGGGTATTATATTTTCTAAACACCCTATTCAGAGATGTTATTGTACACCTCTGGCGCAGTTGAGACTTGGACCCAGGCCTCCTGACTCAGAAGTAGAGATATCACCATGCAACCACAAGGGCTTCACTCTTAAGGGTAGTGTCCCACACCCAACCGTTTTCAGCTTCTTCTTCAATGATCTTTCTTGTGACATTTTGTCAGAGATGAGAACATTTGTGGATGATTGCATAGTGTTCAGCTCTATTCAGAGCTCCTCAGATAATGTAGCTATTCATGCCCAGATTCAGCAAGACCTGGACAACATTCTGGTTTGGGCTGACAAGTGGCAAGCAACATTCATGCCACACAAATACCTGAATGAACTCAATGTATAGCCTTCAAAAAGATTATGATATAACCAAAACGTGCTGTAAATAAACCAACCTCTATCGAACTAAGTTGAGTATTCACCACTGATGCAGTTTCCATATTGATCAGGATCATTTTTATTCAGTCAGGGTTAGTAGGCGTCACTGGCTGAGCAGCATTTATTGCCCATGCCTAATTGCCCTTGAGAAATCAGTGGTGAACTGCCTTCTTGGATGGCTGCAGGCCATTTGGTGTAGGTACACCCACAATGTTGTTAGGGAGACAGTTCAAGGGTTTTGATCCAGTGACATGCAAGGAAAGCCAGTATAGTTCCAACTCAGGATGATGAGTGCCTTGAAGAGGAATTTGCAGGTGGTTGTGTTCCCATATTTCTGCTACCTTTGTCCTTCTTAATGGTATTGGTCATGAGTTTGGAAGGTGGTGTCCCAGGAGCCTTGGTGAATTTCTGCAATGTATTTTGCAGATGATACATACTGCTGCTGAGCATTGGTGGTTTGAGGGAGTGACTTTTTGTAGAGATGATACCAACCAAGCAGGCTATTTTAACCTGGATGATGTCAAGCTTATTGAATTTTGTTGAAGCTGCACTCAGTCAGGGAAGCAGAAAGCATTATATGACACTCTCGACTTTTCTGTGTGGATGGTGAATAAG